TTAACCGAATTAACCACCCACCATTAACATCATGCATAATATGAATTACCCTATTAAAAGGTAATTCTACACTTGCATTATAATGTATTGAAAGAAACACCCCTCTAACTAATTGAATTGATAAACATATCCCTAACAAAAATCCAAAATTTCATATAATATTAATAGTCACAGGGATAGGTAAATACAATAATTCTTTTTTTAACCTTATTGTATTATAAAATATTTTCATTATAATATTTGTCGTATTGTTTTAGTTTTATAAAATAATAAAATTTTAACCACTAAAATTAATACATATAATAAATATAAAATTATAAAAAAAATTAAAACCCTAAATTTATAATAAAAGTTAATTAATCTTAAATCATAATTTAATAAACCTCTTTTTATTTTAAAAATACAATCATTCAAATGTAAAATTATAATTCTTAAATCATAAATAAAAATTAAATAAAAAATTAATAAAATTAAAAAAAATATTTTAAATAAAAAATTTGTTACCCCAATTTTTATTAAAACTATTTTATTATTTAAAGCAAATCTATTAAAATACAAAAATAAAATTAATATCCCTCCAACTATAATTAAATATAAAATTATTGAATAAAATTTTGAACAAAAAAAAAATCCTAGCAATAAAACTACACAAAAAACTTGTAAAATAAGAAAAATACCTATTATTAAAGGATGAATATTTTTTAAACTCAATAAAATTATTACAATAAAAATTATAAAAAAAATTAAACATACATATAAATTAAACGCTAAAAATATCAACAATTTTTTACTAATATTCAAAAAATAGTTTAATAAAAACATTAATTTTGGAGATTAAAATTATAAAAAAATTATTTTTTTGTTTTAACCTAATTAAATCTTTTATTTTATTAGTACTAAAAATAAATTTATACTTAAATATTAATTTTTTATTTTAAGTTTCTTTTATTAATACTAAAAATAAATTTATTCTTAAATACTAATTTTTATTTTCAGTTTCTTTTATTAGCACTAAATAAAAGTTATGCTTAAATATTAATTTTTTATTTTTAGTTTTTTTTATTAGTACTAAAAATAAATTTATTCTTAAATACTAATTTTTTTACATAAAAAAATTAATAAAATTGCTAAAAAATATTTATTTAATTTTAATATACAAAATTAATGTTTTTATTAAACTACTTAGCTAAATTAATCTATTAACTTTATTTATTTTAATATTTTTAAGGGGTTATGCCACTCTAGAGACCGAAAAAATAGGTGTTTTATGTGAATTTTTTTTAGAAAAACCATAAAGTCAATTAAAAATATAATATAAGAAGTTTATTATACATCTTTTTAGGTGTAAAAAAATAATTTCTTATAAATATTTCTTGAAGAATGGTGGCGCTGTAGCGGTCGTCCTTCGACTCCTCTATGGTTCAAGGGGTACGTGGCCGAACTAACTGCTACTGTAAATTTTGGAATATCTTGAGTATCTAAATTTTTTTTTATTATATATTACAATAGCTAAAGTAACACGTAGGATTTTTTCGATATATTGATTCATGATCAAATGGCGTACTTCTAAAGTTAAACTTTCTAATTTCGACTAAAAAACCATCAGTTAATAGTTAATAACAAATGAACTATATAGAATAAAAAAAAATCCTACGTGATACCTTAAAAAATGTATTTTTAAAGATGTGTGTCAAATTTGAACCTAATCGGTTGGAAATTGTACGAGTTGTTGGTTCGGCCAACTCGAAAAATGTAGTTTGGAGATAAACGCGTTTAAAGTTTTAAGTTGTAAAAAACTTAAATAATTTCACAATACCTTTAATCTGCAATGCCTGCAATTGTGTAGAATAGACTATAGTCTAGCAAGTAACTAGCGCCTTTGAAAACATCTGCCGTATACCTGCTGTAGATCCTTCAAAAATCACCCCCCGTAGAACTGACAAAAGGAGCTCGCCGCGTACCGTGCAGCCTTGCAAGGAACTTCGAAAATAAATTATTTAGAGATTTTTCCGAGCCATAATCCTGCAATATGTTATTTCTGAGACCCTAAGGAACTATTTAAAGCAAAAAAAAAAAAAGCGATTTTTTGAAAATCCTAGAGTGGCATAACCCCTTAATTACTATTTTTTCAATTACACCAATATATTCCCATCTAATCTTATCACTAATAAGATTAGAAATTATTATAATAAATATAATCTTATTTGCATTTTATTTAATAATGTTAATAAAAATGGAATATTTTATTATAATTTCATTAACAATAATTGTTTGTGAAAGAGTTCTAGGATTAACTGTATTAATTTTAATAATCCACTTTAAAGGAAAATATAACACTAATTCCTTAAATTTAAATTTTTAATGAAAATTTTATTAATAATAATTTTTTGCTCTTCAACATTTTTAATTAATAAAAATTTAAATTTTCTTTATTTAATTAATTGAATCTCATTATTTACTATAACCCTAATCATTTTTCCCCCATTATTAATAAATAAAATTATATTTATAATTTTTATTGACCAATACTCATTTATTTTAACTCTTTTAACTTTATGAATTTTTATCTTAATAATTATAGCTTTAATAAATATAAATTTTAAAAAAATTTATTTAACTACTATAATAGTTTTAATATTTTCCTTAACCATATCTTTTATTTCAATAAATTTTTTTTCTTTTTATATTTTTTTTGAAATTTCAATTTCAATTTCAATTTCATTTATTAACGGGACATGCCCTTTCGTACAAAAGTACTCCTAAATTCTAATAGTTACGTAAGTAACAATACAAAATATAAAATATTAACTAAATCTAGGTAGGCGCTATAATGGTTAAAGTTCAGTATAAGTTTATACAGTAAAGAATAACATAAATCAAATTACATTATTATCAAAGGAGAAGATTAATTTTTGATAAATTGAATCTGCTTTACCATTATATCAATTAATTTCAAAAATAATTGTTATTGTTCAATAATACTGATTTTCTCTAAATCACAATGTCTACATTTAGTTCTGTATGTATTTCCTTAAATCACTTTCATAGATAGAAATAAAATAAGTTTCTCTAGAAACGGACACAACCTTGGGCACCAAGTGGGGAAATCACTACAGATTCTCCTTACACGCATCTATTTGGACTGTAAGAGTGGATGTGCGATTTCTAGGGGGGATTTTAATTATGGTAGGGATTCCACGCCGGTACACCATTGACACATTCATTTCTCCGTCTAATCGACGGGTCTCTAGTTCCTCCCTCACTCTCTTAATCTCCTCCCTCTGCATAACCGTCCTGTCATTCGACATCCAAAGATCTTCCAACTCCCTTGAACGTGTTGAGTCTCTTTTGACACTTACAAATTTTTTTAGAATTACTTGTGCCTTCTCTTCCGTCTCACATACAATCTTAACAGGACGAGGCTTACGAGAAACCTGCGCATTAGAACCAATTCTAAATGTGCGTATATTTTCAAGATCATCTGTTTGAATGAATTTTTTTAATTTAGTCGTAACCACAGATTTCAAAAAACAACT